TGTTGACATGGTTGAAGACAGTGAGATCTTATGGTGACAGCTTGCCCTTAGTCCAGCTGGTGACGACGTGTTTATTGATGCCTATTATCATAGACCCAATTTAGCTAACAAATACACTTTAAATGGGCTAAATGATAGCCTTACCAAGATATTTTAAACTCTGAACTTCCCGTTTGTAATTCGGGGTGGAGACTACTTTGACGTACCTGGTTTGTCATGGAGTCCTGAGGAAACAACGCATCCTTATGGCTGTCTACAGTCTTAAATTACGGAGATAGCTGATGACTACCACTTAGAACAGAAGGTTGGCTTCACCACTCGAACGGATCCAGTCTCTGGTGCTGGGAATGTCCTAGACCTGTTGTTTACAACTAGACCACACGCAGTTAATAACGTTCATGTGGTTTCTGGGTTGAGTGATCATGAAATTGTTCTTGCTGATATCGTCATTAAATCTGTTCCTGCTAGAAAACCACTGAGGAGTATCTTGAAGTGGAAAAATGTGGAGCAAGCTTTTAAAATGGCCACATCAGAATTGAAGGATAATTTCTTTCACAGCAGCCCGGATCGAAATATTGTTTAATTAAACTGGATCTTTTTTAAGGAAGGCTTGAACAACATTGTTCCTAAGAAGATTGTCAAAGGGAAAATTAGGCCAAGATGATTGTCAACTCAACTTTTGCGTCTCACTAGGAAAAAAGAAAGATTTTATGTTCGTGCTGAAAAATCTGACATCAGTTCTCATTGGGTAAAGTTTAAATCTATTTGTAGATATGTAAACCGTGAACTTCGTAAAGCTCATCAAGCCCATGTGGAAGCTATGACATCTAATGATGACCCCAAGAAGTTATGGCAATATATCAAATCTCAACGCAGAAATAACAGTGGCGTTCAGGTACTTAAGGTGCAGGATGTTGACATAATCAGTGACGAGGAGAAAGCGGAGGAGCAAATCAATTTAGTAGCATCCTCACTAGAGATGAGTTGTCACAGCTGCCTTGTCTGCCCGATAGTAGTTACCCAGATATGCCTGACCTCAAGGTGTCTAGTGTGGAAAGTGTTTTGAAGCTGCTTAAATCTATGGATGTTTCCAAAGCAGCTGGGCTCGACCAAATACCAAAAGAGCCCTCAAATGGGCTGCGGATGAAATTGCCCCAATTTTCCAACAATCCTTGGATACAGGTGAGAACTGCCTGCAGATTGGAAAAGGGCCAACATAACTCCTTTGTTTTAAAAGGGTGCTGCATCTGATCCAGTAAACTATAGACCGGTTTCTTTAACGTCAGTGTGTTGCAAATAACTGCAGCATATTGTTGACAGTCAGTTAATGGAACATCTAGACCAACATCAAATTTTAGTAGAAAATCAACATGCCTTCCGTAGAGGATGCTCATGTGAGAGTCAACTTATCCTGACTTTCAATGACCTTGCGTGCAACCACAATAATGGAAAAACTACTGATGTAGCAGTCTTGGACTTTTCAAAGGCTTTTGATGTAGTACCACACCAGAAACTCCTTCATAAGATTGATTATTAAGGTATCAGAGGCAAAAAAAAGAAATGGATTACAGCATTCTTAAATAACTGCAGAGAGTTGTTGTCAACGGCGAATTGTCTAGCTGACGCAAAGTTGTCAGCGGGGTGCCACAGGGGAGTGTGTTGGGATCACACATGTTTCTTCTTTTTATAAATAAGGGAGAAATTAGACTATTTGCTGATGATTGTCTTATATACCATCAGATCAACTGCAAGGAAGATGATGAATTTCTGCAAGCTGACCTTGATAACCTCATTAAATGGGCTTCTACATGGGGTATGAAATTTAATGTTTGCAAATGTACATGTAAATGATGCGAGTTTCTCATAAACGCAACCCTGGTAAACCTTCTTATGAGATGGATGGTGTGCGTCTTGAATTAATGAACAAGTTCAAGTACCTTGGCATACAAATTCAAAATAATTTAGGATGGGGAAATCAGACACAATATGTTGTCACTAAGGCCACAAAAGTCCTCACTTTCATCAAACAAAATTTCTATATGAGTTTTAAAAAGGTCAAGGAAAGGTAATATCTTACACCTGTTCAACCATTACTAGAACATGGCGTGGCAGCATGGAACCCATATAAAACTTGTCATCAGGAGGCAATTGAGAGAATTCAGTGCAGGGCAGCGCGCTTTGTTCTCAGAGATTATGCTAGGAAGAGTAGTGTCTCCAACATGTTATCATCGTTGGATGGGAGAAATTAATGGACAGAAGGGAAGCTCTCCAGATAACCCAACTCTATAAGATCATTACGCAAGCTACTGATATTGATGCTCCTGACTGTCTTCAGCCAAATGTGCAAAGATCCAGTGAAAAAAGTTTGTTGAAAAATGGTAATAACATCAACTTGAAAATGGCATTCGCTGGAGAAAGTGTTTGAGAAAACTTTTGAGAAAACAACGCAACGTACATGTACATAGAAAGTTTCCTGTTCCCTTTATCCCCTCAGGCCACTGCAGACCTAAGATAGGGTCCTTTCAATCAAAATTTAATCAAAGACACGAATGCACTGGCGCGGGGAAAGGAATGCACAAGCATGAACTGCTGGGACTATATTAATAGTATAAGTGCATGTACCAAACAAACGGGGTCTTGAATGACAAGTACATGTACTGTGGTTGTGTGCATCTCCATGTTGTGTGCCTACACAAACACAAGCAGGGCACCCCAAAATCTGTCTTACAAAATTCATAAGAACGGGCACAAGTTTCATTTTTGGACTCAAAGTTTTTTGGTCATTCATTTGGTCATTTGGTCATTTTTGGATCATTTCTAACAATTCTGCATAACAGGTTTTGCACCACACGGTTCTTCCATTCTTAATCACATTTCCAGTGATGAGTACCAGTATACTATGCCGTTACTGCATGTGATTAAAACAGTGAAGGGAAACGTGGTCAAAAGGTTGTGCGTGCAAGCCCGAGCGGCCGTATCTCATGCAATGTTATTCATGTCATTTCGTTTGTAACGTCGGGGGTATTGTAATGCTGATACCAAGCGATAACTGGCAAGCGCTGCCAAGTGCACAAAACTGATGTTTATATTTTAATACTATTTTCCGAGAACTTTCTAATCATTGTTGGACTTTTTGACGCGGTTATTTTGGAAGTGCTGAATATGATGGACTTTTTTGATGCGGGGCCGAAATTTCATGAAAACCTTTAGCAACCTTACGGTTGTTACACCCAAGATGATACAGTGCTGCCGTAGCTCTTGCCTGGATCTAACTCATTGGAGTTTAATGAGTGTCCACTTCATAAGAAACTTTGGACTCATTGAAATCTCCACTTAGCCATTCAATAAAGATTGACGGGCAAGCGTACACCTTTTATGAGGGATTAGGCCCATAAAACCTGGGAACTGATCAACATATTAAGGCAACCGCAAAGTTAATGAGCTAGGCTTCTCCGGAGGCCTCACTGTGTTTTCACTATGTTTTTACTGAAGCCCAGCATGTCCTCACCGGGTCATGCAGGGGATTATTTCACGGTGATTTCAACAGATAATCCGCCCTGACGTTGCTGTGAAAACAAGTTTCCGGTAAATTCATTGCAAATTATATATTCACTCCAAATTCAGTGTTCAGATTCATAGTGGACCCTACACAAGCCCAAGGCTATACGCTAATTGGGCTGAAATGTCAACCTGGGGACTGGGCCATGTGGCCTGTGGTCAGACACAGTGTTTTACCATAAGGCTACAAGTGGCCTTACGACTCACAAAATGAAAAGAGAAACTTTCTGAAATGATAGCATGATGATACTCAGACTATTAAAAAGTAACAATCAAGAAAAGTATTAGAAAAGAAATCTATACATTATAATATTTATGAAACTGGGGCTATCAAGGCAAAACATCATATGGTTTCAGTGAAAAATCCAGAAGTAAATGCACTCTCCGGACCAGAATATGGTCATACTTTGGTCGAGAGTGACCTGCGTGTTGCATACAAGCAAAAAAATAGTTGAGCAGAGCATGTGCAACAAATGACGATAAAACAATAAAAACTGAACTCACAAAACCCAACAAAAAAACCACACTTTAAACAAAAGATTCTTAACAATCAAAACTATCATTGGAATTCCTAAAATGTCTAAATGAGATCAAAAATAGAGGAAAATTCTTTACCTGAAAAGGAGAGATCACGGACAGGGTGGTTGGAGTAGGGAGTGGATGGTACAGCACTGAAGCATGCTGGACCACACCACCCAGCCCAGAGCACCACCCCATCCAGGGTCACTCCACTCTCAAGAAGGGGATCTCACTGTCTACAGTAAGCACAGGTGTAATGGGCTAAACCAAATTGAAACTCCAACAGCAAAAAACAAAAGTGGTTGGTGGTGTACCACACAAAAGAAAGAAAGCAAAAAGTAAAATTTTAAGGGAACTACTAAACTAGTAAAAGAAGGGGAACCCTTTTACATATATACTGAAAAGAAGGGTTAAAGTTTCTCATATGATTGGAAAGCTAGAGAAGTTGTTCTGCTCTGTGTTTTATTTACTGTGAGGGTTGGTATGTCCAAGGATCCGGGGTTGCCATTCCTCTTAAAAGAACTTCATTAAATTTTGGAATGGTGACAATCAAGACTATAAAAGCTACATTCACATGGTGACTTCGCTAAGCATTCAAAAATTAATTGCTTTATATATATATCAAGGGTTTTATCCTCATCAAATTATAGTTCTCAAGACATTGGATTTCAACTCATATGCTCTTAAAAAATGTAGCTGGTGTCAAGTGACACATATCAGTCTCCAAACACCATGTTATAAAATCCATCTGTAATCCATTTATTATCATTCTTTCATGGTGTCATCTATTCAGAAAGTCCAATGTTCTTTTGTTTTTGGATTTCAAAATGTTTTAATTTCTAAAAGATCAGCTGAGCTGATTGACATGCAAGTTTATTGAAATGTTTGCAAAAGCGTATTTATTTTGTCTGATTAATTTGCAGGATCAAGCATCATTATATTCTGTGGTGTCACAGTTCTTCCAACAATTACAAGAGTCACATAAGGGTGGTATGTATATGTTACCATTTTCTGCTAGAAAATAACAAAATCTTTGGTTCTGTGTGTGTAAAGCTTGCAACTAGTTCCTCATTCACTTCATACCTGAGGGCATATAAACCTGTCGATTATCTTTAGTGACAGTTTATGGAGGTAGTCTGAGTGTTAGGCTTCAATCTGGCCATTGAATTGTGAGCAAATATTTCTCTTGGGCAGAGCTTCAATGTTGCAAGGATGAGGTAAGGTGGAGGGTTTTGTATAAATGTTCCATAAAGTACTCTTAACTTGCTGCCGGGTGTAATTTCAAGTTGCATGACATAAAACCGGGTGATTTTCAAGATTTGCTAGTTTCAAATTATTAAAAATTGTACCTTCATTTACTGGACATTTACACCCACACAAATGACTTTCTGGTGGCCACTCTAATCTGACAGACAACATCTATTGAGGCCCGAGTATTTCAGCCAGGCCTTCCACATTGTAGAAAGAGCCCAGATTGTGCGGTGTTATGTAATATTCTTTTGTTCCCGAAACTGGCATAGTGCGCTGCTGGAGTCTTTTTAGTAGGGGCAGTGTAACAGAAGCCACACAGATTTATCTTGTGCCTCCTTTAGAAACAAGCAGTTATTCACCTTGAAGGCTGTTATGCATGTACTGTGTAGACACTCACCAATTACCTGTTGAGGAACTTTCCATAAAGTAACCACATGGGTGAATCTAATGCGTGTGCAGCCCATACATGTTATGCACACACTGCCTTGCTACTGTGTAGCAGCCTCCTTTGTTTTTATGTGTGTGTGTGCTAATTATAGACCTGGTATGTTTTGATCACTTGATCACCTTATATTTTTCCTAAAGATCTGCTAGATTAGCTTTCCTGTTGAATGTGGTACCCTAGTCTGATGGTGAATTACATTTTATTTCAGTTCATTGGGGTTTTGAGGTTATTTTGTAACTTTTGTAATATATTTTCCCATAATGCATCATTGTGATTAACATAGCCTGATCTTCTCACAATGTAACAATTCCAGCTCTGTTGTCTGTGATTTTGATCCACATCCAATGTTTTAGCTACCCCACTACAGGCCTCATGAGGTAATCACTACTTTTTTCAGTAATACATTGAAGTTTTGATCTTGGAATTATATGATTAAGGAAGGAAATGATGGTTGATTTAGACAGAAACTTTCCATCATTATACATTCTTATGAATGACATGTATATGCACATAGAGTTGGTACATGTATCACGGGTCTGTAATAATGGCATCCTTATGTCATGAAATCTGTTACATAATAATTGTTCTTTACTTTTAGTGTTGAGATATTTGCATGTTACTCTTTTCCTTTGTCCGTGCAATTCAAGTAGTCACCATCAGCTGAAAGTTTAGAAATAAATGATGATTTCATCAGGTGACATCCGTAAGAACGTTTGTGCTTAACTTTTGCAATTGGTAGTTGGGTGTAGCAACACCTCATCTCCACAGCACTGGAGCGTTTTTGTCCCCAGTGGTAATCTACTCATGCTGAATGCCACAAACAGCGGTATAATCTTTCAAAACAAAGACTGATTTTGATTCAGATGCTTCCATATATCTTTGAACAGATAAAATCAGAGAAAACGTGTTTTCCTTAGAGGTGCTCTTAAAGGACATTCCCATAAGGGCTGCAGGCCAATATGGGTATTACAGGTCAGACTTTATCACTTCAAATTTTGTAGGAAGTCCAGTTGTGTTGATACATCAGTGAAAATCACGAGGGTGTCATGATGACATCATCCCAGGATTTTTTTTTGTATAATTATTTTAAACTTATCTACAAAAAGAAACAAAATATTTTCAAAATTCTTTTTGCAATACCTCTGGCAGTCCAAGTAGATATGTGGGTTGTTTAGAAATTTTGGGGTGTTGTTTTTATGATTCCTTTCTAGAAGCCTTCTCACACTAGACAGATCCCAGGGTTGACGCAGATTTGAAAACCTCCACCCAACATCAACAAACATTTCCACTAAATCATAACCAGCATCCAAGAAGCAGCCAGCAACATTATTCCCACAGTGGAGAAGAAAACTGTTGCTTCACACTGGTTCAGTCCTGAACTGGAAGATCTGCCGAGGAAACGTAGAGTCTCAAAACCAAATCAAGTACAATATCGTCTAATCAACAAAGAGTTCAAGAAGAAATGCAAGGAAATCAGAGAGCAATGGCTGGAGGAAAAGTGCAAAGAAGTTGAGAATCTGAACTGCAGTGCCAAGGAGATATTTAAGAAGATCAACAAGATCACCAGCAAGCAATCTCCCCTCCTACCAAATGTATTAAATCTGTAGATGGTCGCTGTAACCTCTTAAATTACACAGGAAACGCAAGTGTGAACACACTGATGAAAAACTTGGCCCGTGGAAACAGCTCTCTCCAGAACTTAACTGTTTATTCACTACCCTTAATGATGGCAGCCCATTCCAAGTCCAAAGTCAGCGGTTCGCTACAATTGATAGAGAAAATAGAAGCACACCTTATGTAGCAATACATGTACATAAACCTTAGTCAAAATCCATTATGATGAAATAAAGAAACGGTTGACTACACATCCCTATGAATAAATTTACCCTTACTATGTGCCCCCATAAACTGTCTTACTGTGTAAATGCCAAATGACCACGTGTACATGTACATGTAAATCCGAGCAGTAGGGTAATACATGAACCCAGTAATAACGGCCCTTCATAATTTACTAGCGTTACAACGTCCCATTATTTCTCCCAAATTAACCCTTATTCCCCAGATGACCCTTAAGCTTATTCTCATATCCATTTATGACACATAATATGGCAGACTTCCTTTGTCTTACCAACTGTTGCATTCCTGGGGGTTTACTTATTGAAAGGAAAGATGTCGCTCATGTACGTTGTGGATCATCGAGTGGAAGAAGCGAAT